CTGCCCAGTGTCCAGTGGCTCCACACCTCATGCAACGACTCTTGCTCTTGATCTCCTGCAACTTGGCACGCCTCTGCTCCAAAGTCAAACCAGGTTGGACCACTCTTGATGACCTTGCCTTTGCCTTTGCCTTTTCCTTTCTTTCCTTTTGCTTTCCCAAACGCGGCAAGTGCAGCAATCTGTAACTGGATGGATTCTCCTAACGATGATGCATCAATGTCTGGACTGCCTTCCAGGTCAGCCATGGCGTTGAGTGCAATACTCTCCCATTCTTCAACCGCTTCATGCTCATACTCATCTTCCTCTGGTTCTTCTTCATCAGCTCCTGCAAGCAAACCAACAAGGGGCTCTTCATCTTCCACAATGTCTTCTGTAAATTCTTCTTCCCAGTCGTCTTGGACGCTGGTGGTCTCTGCGAAATAGCCTGTACGCCAAGGATTCCTGCCTTTTCCTTTGCCTTTATGCGTGGATGGTTTCCCTTTTCCTGATCCCATGCTGGGTCCTTGGTGGCCCAGGGATCTTCCACCTCTCAAGTGCACAGAACCATAGTGCTCGATCAACGTGTTGGCAACCTTCTCGAATGACAATGGACTTCCTGCGCAAGCCTTGATGACCAAAGCTTCTTGATGTGTCAATCCCGACAATTCAATGAGAAGTTCACAGCGCATGGGTTCACTCAACGAAGTGGAGGAGTCCAACTCCTGCAGCGTGCGCCACCATCTCCTACGCCTGTCACAGTAGGATCTCATTGATTCACTAGGCTGCCTGCTCAAAGGACCAGACCTAACCTGACCAATGCGGAAGAGTTCCCTAGCCTCTTCACTAGCTCTTGGAAACACTGACTGCTCGATACGACGCACTAGTTCACGCAAACCGCCATCGGCAACCAAAGCGTTGATACCCATGTCTCTAGCTACCAAGAAGGCGTCACCTCTCAAACCTTCCATGACCTTGGACATGAGGTTGGTTCTATCCTTAATGATGTCTGCTTCAATGGTCTTGGACCTGGTGGTTGCTCCCTCTGACGACTTTGGGGACTTTGCACCTGAGGCCTTGGGGGCTTCTGTGGATGGAAACTTCTCGTATCCTTCCTCGTCTAATCCTGCTTCAAATTCTTCGCGCTCCTTCTTCTCATCCTCGGCAGTTTCGAGGCCAGCTCTGGCAGCTGCCTCATTGGCTTCAAGAATATGGATCTTGAGGAGCACGCGAAATTCCCAATCATGGAAAGACTGGGGGTCTCCCCAATAGATCACGGAGCCAGTCTTGGTCTCCACAGGTCCCTTCGACGAGAAAGCATCGGCTCCAAACCGGAGTCCGTTCACGCTCACGACGAAGGACGAATTACTATGAATTTAGCACCAATGCACGAAGCAAAGCACAAGCACAGCACAGTGGATTGGGCTCGGTTCAACGATTCCTGGATCGTCCTACACAGTCCTGAGTCTGGTCCTCTGCAGGATCCAGCTCACGCTACCAGTATGAAACTGGTGTGACTGGGCGGACACGCACACTTTTCTAGCCTAGACTCAAGGGCCCTGGTAAGCCGAAATGTCGCGAAACAAACTGTACAAAACAAGCCATCACATCTCGCAACCTGGTCTTTACATGGACAAGTGAGGGTGGATTCACATATATTATTATATATATATATATACAGTAGTTAGTTTAGCTTCACTTGTTTATCGTACCGTGTTCATCAATGAACTTTTTACCACATGCGGCCCAATGCGACCAGGCTCGTCTTTGGGAATGACCACGGTCACCTTTAACTGAAACAAGATGAAACAATCTCGTGGTGTTTAACAATAATGTTTTTTGTACATTCCGCAGCGCTGCAGCACCCTGAGGTGTCCGCCGCCCAGAGATCCAAAAGGTTCGACATGCGCTGTTGCGGGTTTGATGCAGGCCCTGCACGGCGCAAAAGAACTCCGAAACTTCGATCTTTGAATGTCTTTGGATACTGCCTCCATGCAAGCTGAATACAATCACTCAAAACTCCTCTCTGCTTAGACAAGCAGGTTCACTCCATCGCGTGGAGCCACATGAGCCAATGGACTTCAAGTTCCATAGTGGCCCATCCAAATGGATAATCCAACCCCCTTGGTTTGAATGCTCCTCTGCGAGTGGTATGTTTTGGATTGGGTGAATGCCCTTGGTTTGTTGAACCTAGCAATGGAAAAGCACCCAAATGCAACTACATGGAAGACTCCTGGCAGCCCCTAGCCCTGGCCACTCACATCAGGACGATGCGCACGTGATGGACCTCTGCGTTAGTGGACAGTACTTGTAGGATCAAGAAGCATAAGCAAACAAAACATCCCAACATCTGTTGTCGCCAATGCTATTTACAGACCCTTTTTTGCCGGAGATTTAGAGACCCTTCCACATACCGTATCGGGAAATAATGAGAAATAGTATGAGACACCTCCACTTTATGCCCCATCCCCCCTCAGCCTGTCTTCTTACTGTACTGGAGCGCAGCCTCCTGAGCAAGAAAACTGAGTTACTGTTGCCAGCAAAAGCAGGAAAGCAGATTGATCGGGCACAAACAAAATTCAACAAGTTTCAGGGATCTTGCTGTTGAAGATTCTCCACTGTTTGGGCCTTGTTTCTGAAGAAACCCATGATGTTCAACAGCCACTGAAAGTGCTGACTTGCTGATCATTTGCTCACCAAGCCAACCAATCGTTGCCCATCAACAAGATTAGAACGGCAACGATTGGTCGAAACACATGTGTTCGCAAAAAGGTGCGGAACATCACCGAATGACCCATCTAAGGAAGTCACCGAATGAGGTGTTCATCATTCCAAAGGCACAAATGAGCAGCTCTGAAAACGTGTGGCATCTGCCTGTGTCGTAGGTTTATAGAGTGGCTCAAATGAAACAATCCATGGATGAATCGATTGTTGCTGTGTGAAAAATGCGTGAGCAGGAGGTCTCTGGGGCGGGTGGGGGTCAGGGGTCAGTGTTCACATGCTATCAGAAAGTCCACCGAGGCGCTACCAAGCCCACCGGTCGATTTGGCATCGGCCGATCCGGCCTTGGTCGATGAGTCTGGAAGAACCCAGTGCATGGAAGTGATCTCAAAAACTTCTGGGTGCCCGAGTGGATCTCAATTAAGTTCTTCAAAATAAAGGGTGAAGTTGTCATCTCCCACTATATAAAGGCATATGATATAGAGTTCAAACTCCGGATTAATCCAAAAACAGCACAGTGGTGCTGTCGCTCAGGGGTGGTACTTGTTAATGAACGGAACAAACTTCAAGGGAGGCGCTAGGCTAGGAACCACCCCCGGCTAATCCCAATGGTTTGTGTTATTTCCCCTAACTCTACACCAAGAATTCCCGAGGCGCACTGGTCGTTTTGGATATGTATAGTCTTCGGAGAAGCCAAATGCAGGCGCTCCCAGTGTCTTCAATTGTCATTTCCGCCAAGTTGTATTCCCTGTGAACACGTCTTCCATGGTCTTCCATCATGTAGCTGTAGCGAAGCTCATCGCTTACTGGATCTGTTCCGAGCGATTCCCTTCGAAATTTCTGATCTCGGCCCTCGACCGCGGAGGCGTCAGCTTGTTTCTCCACCGTGATATACCAAGCGCCTGTAGCACGGATTAGCACGGATTTGGGAGGAGTGAAGCAGTGTGCTTCACAGTTGCTAAAGTGCAAAACGGAGATCGGGAATCGTGGCCAAACATCAAAGACCTTTGTCCTCTGCATTCGGCTTCGCTCCCAAACGCTCCCTCCAAGACACCCCCAACTGAATTGGCCTTCCGCTTCAAGTGGCTCTTGAGAACCTCTTGGCCCTGACCGACGTCTCCTGGTGCCAGGTGGAGCTTTTCAGCACTGATGCCAAAAAGCTTGCACACCGACTCCCTTGATCTACGAGTACTTTGGATCTGTTTTGAATCACTGGCGGATAAGACAGCTGGGGCAGGACACCTGTAGAATGATCTGGGAACTACTGGTGGATTGCCCGTTTCAACCACCAGATGGATCGCCAAGCCATTGGGTGGATGGATGCAGTGTGATACAGCGTGAGTCAGCGCAACTCCTCTGCTGTGATTATTGCCCATTGAGAAGAGTCGTAGAGGCCGAGGCCTCAAGAAGCGTTCTCAAACGCTGAAGAAATAGGATGGAAAGGTGGTCAGAGAGGCACTGGTTTCTACAGTCATCCTCAGGTCGATCAAAAACGCCGCCATCCAAACATCAGCGGGAGAATGCATCAGTTTTTGGATTAGATAGACAGAGGTTGTCCGAGGCACGGACGCAAGTGGGACTCGGGCTCTTGCGGTGTCCCATCCAACCATCTCTGACCATTCATCCGCAAAACTTGGAATTCGCTCAGCAAAACCAAGAAGAACTGGGTGCTCGGACATCCAAAATGCCGTCCACGGAGTTCGCTTCCGAAGGCTTCACAGGCTCCACAGCAGCCCAGATCAAGTGGTTTTCTGTTGCCAATGCAGGGACAACAATCCCTTTTGTCTAGAAGGGTCGCCGTCCAACTGTGGTGTTTCCCCAAAAACTCGCAAGTTTCGGTACTGGAACATCGAATCAATCCGGTTGCAAATCTAAAGAACTGAAGACTAATAGGTTACAGGACCATCAGTTGGAATTTCTTGGAGTCAGAATCACAGAGTATCACAGAGTACTCAATACTTCCATGGAGACAATTCCAGCTGCATTAGGTCCATGTCCAGAGCCTTGAGCCCAAGACATGGTCGGCTTTCACGGGCGCCAACAAAAGGATCATTTTACTGGATCTTCCTTCTCTTTGCAAAAGGCAACAAGCGATCATCAATTATATAGTTTGTGCGTGTGCATGGATTCAACTTAGAGATTTCATCCTTCTGCTATATTCATTCTGCTATCATCGCTTTCTTGACAACTCACGAGGAGCTGTCCTGTGCTAAGAAAGGTTGCTGATGGAAATTTTGACGTAGATAGAGGACTGCTACAACATGAAAATCAAGAGACCTTCGGCCACTGCCCCACCAGTGGGCCTGAATCTCCTTCTGCTCCCTGACCTTGTCAGCCTTGTCAACCAAGAATTTCCATTTTACACATGTCATGTGGTCGTTACAGGGCAACCTTCACTCCCTGACGGCCCTGACCCAAGAGACAAGACCTTCTTCAGAAGACACTAGGTGTCTGGGGAAGGTATGGGATGGTTGAGTCTCTCATCTGACGAGAAAACACATGGGAATCATGATGAATCTCACATCTGACCCCTTCTGACGATTCACCAAACAAACGACCTTCAAATCACTGGCCTGCGTCTGCGGCACAGCAAGCGCTGCATGCGCATCATTCACCTGTCCAAAAATGTGGATCAGCAAAGCATCAATAGATTGAACGGTCCACAGTAGGTGTATCAACTTCATGCCACAAACTTGTTGAAGACACCAGGTCTTTCATCAACAGAACAAATGTGCAAAAAAATCAAGTGTCAAACACCCTGCAAGAGAAAAAAACTGCTTTAATAATTCAGAATTAACCCTTGCACTACCAGGTACGGTAGCTCCCTTCTTTGATTCCAGTGCAGTTGCTGCTTCCTGGCCTGCACATCAAAGGTCCACCGCTCCAAGGTCTCTTCTGTGACCTGCGAGGACGAGCCTTCACTAGCTTGCCCAAGGTACGCTGCAAAGCCCAAGTAGTGTGCAAGCAGTGCAAGACTGAAATCAACACAAATCTGGCCAAGGAAATACGCAAACATCATAGTTGTCAAGAATAGTCTTCCAGAGTCTTATTTCTAGGATGCTCTGAGGTGTGCTTTATCTTCCGAAGTGTTTTTGCAGGACAGATCATAGATCCTCATTAGGTCCTAATTACTTCTCTACTCAAGTTGCTAAAGCCTAAACCAAAAAAAGGACCATCGGACCATCGTGTTCACGAAACACCTCGGAGCATCGCTTCGGACCTGAGAGGCCACGACCACCACCAGCTTTCGGACCTGCCAGCACCGTGGCGGCCAGGAATTCGCGTCAATGCGTCTTCAGGGGAACGAAGGAAACATCCCAAGTCTCAAGGAAATGCAGCAGATAGGGCTACAGTCTGCTCTGATTCTTGGCTGTCTATTTGGGATGCATCTCATGCTCACATAGACAACACATGATACAGAAAGGTTCTCGATTCTTACGACATCAGTGAGGTATACAGCTCCCTCCTACACCGAAGCAACACCAAACAACCGTCGATATTCACCTGCTTGTTTATCCTCAAGAAACAAAAGCATATGCCTCACTGGGAAGTCGTCCTATCCGCAAAAATTATAGCAGACATGGGCGCTGGACCTCACTCATTGACTTACTGTATATACTTGGTGTCAAGACACGCGATTGCCAAACTCTCTAACTCACTGGTTGAATGTTGACTGTTGATGGAAGGGATTCAAAAATAAATGTAAAAGCCCGTCTCCAGAACGGTAAAACATCATCAACCTCGTCCACATATAAAGGGGCTTTGTGTTTTTTGCCCGCTCCCTCCCTCCCTACTTAATTAAGTAGGCGCCTAGTTAGTTAAGTAAGGGAGTAAGCTACTGGCTACTTAAGCTACTAGTATGGGCACAGGATAGCTCACGCTTCTTCAAGGAAGCTCCCCCCGCTTCCTTGAAGACGCACTAATGATTTGGTTCCTAGATTACTAAGGAAACTTAAGAGGCTTTGTTTACATGACTGACCCTTTTCAACGCATCTCGGCCTGGCTGCGCATCATCCAGCCCTTGAGCTGCCGCAGGACCTGCGTGCGGTCCACACGACCGCACGACCCTGGAACCATGTGGAACCAAAGAAGCTCAGAGAAAGTGGAGCACAATGAACATCAATGATAATCGGTTGGTACATTTGAAGAGTCCCAACCGAAACTCATCAACATGAAACATTGCTGCAAACAAACACTGTGAGAGAAGTGTGTGCACGTGAAGTGAATAAGACCTGTTTTTTGCACACATTGGAAAAGGTAAAACAAGGATAAACAAGGCAGGTGAACATCTGAGACATGCTCGGAGGCACAAGGGGGAGAAGAAAAATATACAGGCCTCCAAAACCTAAGAGCGATGGCCTCCAACCTAGAAGCGATGGCCTCCAACCTAAGAGCGATGGCCTCCAACCTAAGAGCGATGGCCTCCAACCTACTAGCGATGGCCTCCAACCTACTAGCGATGGCCTCCAACCTAAGAGCGATGGCCTCCAACCTACTAGCGATGGCCTCCAACCTAAGAGCGAAGGCCTCCAAGGTCCTAGAATGGCCTCCAACCCAAGAGCGATGGCCTTCAACCTAGGGGCAATGCCCTAAGCGGGGGACATCTTGCCCGCATTTGGGTTTGCAAGTTGGACTGTCCCAGCCAATGTTGCCAGTGGCTGTCCTTCGGAGTGCCAATTCCCTAAAAATGATGTGCCTCTCCAAGGTACTCTTGAAGTCCTTTGTCCTTGGTCACCAAGATGGACCTCACCACAGTTGCAGCGACCATGGTCCCCAAAAACATGCATCGGGTGTGCACGAACCAGCCGCTGGCGTAGCGCCCCTGCGCCGCCTGTGATGTGCATGTCCACGCTCCAGTTCCAGCAGCACGGTCCAGAACGCAGGCAAAATGACAAATCCGCGAGAACCACAAGCAACTAACGCCTTTCAAAGCAGTGCCAGATGACCTGTTCTTGCCAGAATCATTACACATGATGACATATCCATACATGTCCCGCACTTGTTGTTTGGGGTCTAGCCTTGCCACTTCCCACGATCTATTGTAGTGAGTAGTGCGGGCTTGTTGAGTCCGGCAGATGATGGTGAGAAAACGCACAAACGCTCGGTGCCACCGGGCTGCAGCCCATACTTGCTGACGGAAGTGAAGTGCTCAGCTGGGTACACCCTGCCAGCATGAAGCACTGAGTAGGGTATCACCGCGGGGTTAGGGGGGTCAAGTGCTCGTGCTACAAATCTGAACTTCATAGATCTGTAAAATGAGTCTGATTTAAATAGCCTCAACATGCCTCAACAAATTCACGTATGTATGTCTCGAAATCATTCAATCCCATCCCAACCTATAGCTGAAATTGGTACCACAACCAATGTGTTCTTCAATTTCATCACCCTTTCTTTGCAGTCATTGTGAGCTTGAAACGGTTTCACTGCAAACCCCAAACGGAGCTCTCGGAATCCTTTATATAACAAAATACATTCACGTCAGAGTGGTTGAATTGTTGAGGCAAAATCGACTTAAAAGTCATCGATGTCAATAGTCCCTTTCAATGTTGGAGGCTTCAAAACTCCACTCAAGACTCAGGGTGTAAGAATTCCACGACCCACGGTGCCACCCTCGTTGGTAGAGGATGCTGTTGATCGCATAGCCAAAGAATTCCACGACCGTCTCTGTAGATCCACGCAAGGTGATCTGGGCGAGTCACATCTTTTGTCCACATCGGACCCGTCACTCTCCAACACCTTACGTTCGTAGCGAACCTTGTTCCTAGTAGCGATGCCAGGAGCCCCTAGTAGCGATGCCCTTTGTTACTAGTAGCGAACCTTGTTCCTAGTATAGTGCAAAAGTTGTCCACGTGGTGTTAATTCCCCATGTTCTTTCGACATAAAAGTGGCAGTGCTCTATGATGTCCTGCGCATTCCTGCGCCGTTTCATGGCTTGCTTACTGGCTTGCTTCATCTTGCTTCTATTTCGAATAACATCCGAACCCGCTGTGCTTTCGCACATGCCCCCTTTCCTATGAATTGTTGGGCGGTCTCCATATTGTAACACGGGCGAAGCCAGTCCCGTGCCTAGCCGCGCTCTTCTTTCCCGGAAAACTCGAATATCTCTGAATGTTTGTGGATTGTCAAGAAAGCAAGTTCAGTTGCGATAGGAACCTCTGAACCTCTTTTATTATACTAACCCCAATCAAGGCCGAATTTTACAGGGCAGTTTTGATGTAGGGCATTGTTCTTGGTTCCACCTCGCTCAGTTTCGGGCCAAGCCCGTCTTCTCCGGCGTCGAAGCTGCGGACCGCATGATGGGCGACCAAGTGTGACCGATTTGAAGAGAGGTTCTCGGACACAGATAGGGGCAGTATGAAACATGATGGGCCTCTCCATGTGCTGTTCCAAGGGTGCATCGTATGATGCAAGAGAATGACGTGGCAAATTCTGCCCACAAAAGTTGTCAAGCGTTACTGAGTAAACCAGCTGAAAGCGAGCCAAAAATCCAAGCGCGGGATCTGCCATCACTATCTTGCTACAAACGTCCAGTTATATAATTGAGCGTTTCCCAATGTGAACCCCCAGCAGAAAAAAGGAAAATTGCAGGGAGTTGGTTCTAGGCATTTCGCACCTCGCACTTTTTCTTCTGGAAAACGAGTCATTCGCAAATGTCTTCAACTCTCTGGAAATTTGGTCTCCTCCTGTCCATGCCAAATGGTGCCATTGCTGGTTGTTTGTTATTGCATGTTATGTGGTATGGCCTGGCATCCTCTCTGGTCAGAGATTCGCAGCTCTGAAGCCATCCACCACAGTTGTTCTGGCATTACATACCCAAAAATTATCGAAAGCGCTTCACACCCACTAGCTGACCAATATGGACCCCCCAAAACCAGTGGATTGTCAAGGAAAGCAGTCTTCGATGTTCATTGCCAAGCCATCGGTGTTGTTCCCGATCCATCCCTCTCTGTCCCTCCCCTCTGTGTTTTTCTCGATCCATTGGGCGGATGTCTGTGGATCGGGCCACTGCTGGGGGCTCCTGCAGTCGAATTGCAATGGAGCGGTCGCTCCCGGCGTCCGCCTTTTCAAACGGGTCTGTCAGCCGTCCTTGAATGGATAAATGAGTGAAGGCTAAGGACAGCAGATTTGATCATGTCTTTCTTTGTTGCGATGAAGAGAGCTGAGCAGCTTAACAAACCATGACTTAGCTTCCTGCGAACCCAGTCGGTAGCTCCTTGCCATGGCTGGAGCACATCCCCCTCAGACAGCAGCAGCCTCAATCAATTCAACACAAATTGCTGAAAGGTGAGCACCACAAAAGTAAGACGGTGGAATGCCTTCCAGCACCCAGTGAATCAACGACTTGCCCATGAACTTAATCGCAAGGCTCCACAAACAGTGTTCCTTCAAAATTTCAGGACACTAACTTGCTTCACTTTGGACTGACCCTTGAACAAGTCTGCTTCAAGTGTTGGATCCTCATTGTCAAAACCGCGGGCCTTTGCAGGACAAACCTGGAAATTGAGAGCCGCGCTTTTGGCCATAGGCGAACTGCCCGTGAAAAACCTGGAGTCGGGGACATGTCTTTTAGAACCGTGGGCCCGAAATGGGGCCCGAAAGATTGCGAAAGCATGCGAAAGCAACAAAAAGGTGAGCCAACAAAATAAGACCGTGAAGACCTCTTTAAAATATGGGGCTCCTTAAAAGGAGCCCAACCAAATTTTTGTCGGGGTCATTCCTCTCATTGGCCCGCTTTTGGCCTCCGCGGATCGAGGGAGTTGGAGGCTCCGAGGACCGTCCCTTTTCAAGGACTTGAGTCTGGGGAGTCACTGAAGTCACCCAGGAAATCCATCAAGGACCTTTATATACATCAGCCCAGAAAGCCCATAAGGTCGACAGTATCAACTAAATAACGAACTACATGCCGTCCCCTGAAGTATGACCCATCCTAAAGAAGCTCACCAGGAGACATTTGAGGAGAAATGCGCCGTTGCAGGCCACCTTGAATCTCCTGACCGACACCTGTCAGCTTCGATGGAGAAGACCCTAGCCCTGGGAACTTAAAATACATCTTCCCCGTAAAGCTTCAAAGGTCCTGCAGAGCATCATATACGTTGCACTGTGCACTGTGCAGGTAGACTTTACAGGTGAACTTCTGGTAGGTCTCCAGTCTTATTTAATTTGTCACCCCACCTGCGCCCGCATCACCAGCACAGGCGTTGGAACCACCCGCAGCGGCTCTTCGCGCCACCTGCAAAAGCCGCGAAGCTGCGGGGAGACGTTAAGATCTTCACGAAACCGGGGCGGTTGATCAGACACATCGAAATCATTCGTGTTGTTTGACCCTTTGGGGGGAGTTTATCCGCAAGTAACGGCGAGGTGCACACGCCCAGGACCCACGGTCGCGCCGACTCAAGTCGGTCGAGGTGCCTTCCGGCGCTCCAAAGCGGCAGAGAAGTCCTGGTCGCGTCCGCGTTGTGGAAGTGCTCGGTGCGTCGGAGATCTTGTTCTTTTCGTCGGATGTGGTGGTCATGTTGGTTGACCAATTGGTGGTTAGGCACTTGGTGGTCTTTCTATGTCGTTCTGTGTTTCGGACTCTAGTCGCACGATCCGATCGCAGCATGCACTGCGTGGAGATCATTTCTAAGACGCGAAGATGATGGGGCATTGGAATGCGTCCAAGAGCTGACATGATACCGATACCAAGGGATTCGCAGGAATTGTATTACAAGCCATGGTCAATTTAAACTCTAAACGGAGAAACAACAAGCCATGTGTGGAGGAAAAATCGTCTGTGTGCAGCCAGCCAGCCAGCCAGCCAGCCAGCCGGCTAGCCAGCCAGCCATGCGTTCGAGTGGGATCAGCCAGCCATTCGGAGACCCGACCGACCTGTCCCGCTGCAAACCCGTCCCCGACCTGAGCCGAGGGCTTCGAGCGTTGCTCGCGCAAAGCTAGGAAGACGGCCTGTCAGGTCCAAAAACCATTGCAGAGGGGGTTCGGCCGAATTGGGCCCCCTTTTTATCCTTTCTGTCCGCTTCTTTTGGGATGTCCAAAGTTCCCGGACCCATGGACATTCACGGACATTCGCACCCCAACCACCCGAAGGGCTTGCCTGTACTTATCAATTTGGTTGGGAGGAAGGCTGATGTGATGATATGCGATGTATTGTGATGTGGCTTCTCATGCCACATTGAGCTTGGCTGCTGTCACACTGAAGTGTTGCAGGCAAACCTGCGACCAAAAGGACAAACAGCCCGCCGCTCTTTCAAAGAGATTGGTCCCCGTTTAGTTTGCAATACTCATTCTGACGATGGAAGAGCTGTGGCCAGTTCATCAAATGCAAGACCTGGAAGCCCTGCTCCGACCTCGTTCACCACGTTGGCCAGCTCTGCGCCACTGAAGCCTTGGAAGCTCTGCGCCATCTTTGGACATTGCTTTGGACCGAGAAGCTATTCAGATCAGCTCATCAACCTCTTAAAAATACCCCCATGTAATATAAAGTGGGTACTGGAGATGACGGATATGCAGAGTGTCTTCAGTCCCAGGCCTGCGGAGGCTGCTGCTATGCTGTCCAGGGTGCCGGCCTGCACCGTGCAACTCACCAAACGACTTCGTGACTTGCATCAGATTCGATTGCATAGCTAGTTGCGTTTCTATTTCAGCTTCAACTGTAACCTGATGATGATCATGATACCTTTACATGTCCCTATTGACCCCTCATCTCAAAATCAACCCTTTGCTTGAAGGAAGATCGAGCTTCCCCCATGACAAATCCTCCGCACACTTATAGGACCACAACCCGAGCCTTCACGTCCATGTTAGGGTCTGCCTGGCAATATTTGCTGTCAAAATCGCTGCACACATTGATAAGTACCCTTTGACCTGAACCCATTTCGATGCTCACAACTCGACCGTTTCCAGTGAACGAATTATTCCGTGGATGAAGCTTCCGCCCATTGATAGCATGGTTTCGAATCGATGAAGCATCAAGATTCCAAACTGACTCTGATGAACACATGCGCAGAACAGATTGTGATGTGTGTGTGTGTGTCCGAGAATGGTAACCGCTTGACTCAGTTGTAGAGCATCAGGAAGAATGCCGAACCACCCCATTTAACTTTTGTGGGAGAGATGAAGTAGCATGGTGCTCATATCAAAGAGTTGTCTATTCTATATAAATGAGGTCGTGCAAAAACCCCTCTCTACCTTTCCATATACAACTTTTGACGTTATCGTTTGTTTCTTCCTTATCGTTTTACAAACTGCAACAATTGTAGTAGTATACATGTGTGTGTGCACTGCATGCATTGTGTCAGAGCCCCTCATTGTACCACAACAACAGCGACAGGTGGGACTGGTGATTGTACCGGTCCTTTGGTCTTGCCGCTAATTAGAAGCTATTAGTAACAAGTGCATCGCTAGTAGTAGCAAGTGCCTTACTAGTAGTAACAAGAAGCTATTAGAATTAAATTGAATTCTAATTAAATGCCAAGAAGAGGACAGCCGGGAGGTACAAGCAGTAAAGAACTGGTGGAGTGTACCGAGAGAAAACATCATCGGCACCGCGTTGACACAACGCACCTATACTACCAGTTGGCATCGCCACACTCCTTTTCAGGTTCCTTTGTGTCAGCTTTCCAGTTCTTACTAACGACCCCGATCTACAAAACAAGAACGGTTTCCCCAAGTCGTCGAAGGGCTCCAATTCCACAGTTCCACAGCTGTGATTTTCATGTTCCACCTGGCTCCCTCAGTAGCTCACCTATGCCTGCCCACCTTGTTTGCATGGATCCGCAAAATTTGCCGGCGCTCCTCCTGCGGCACAAGCCAAGTCTACAAGCAAATAATACACAACAATGCACAACAAACAACAACGCTTGCTGTGAGGCCTCTGTCCCGGCCACCAGCCCATCACCCCTCCAAAGCAAATCAATGCCAAAATGTCTTAGCTGTGAATTTTGCCCATGCTCTACAACCTTACGTCGGCAACTGATGTGACCTGCAGCACAAGGTTGGGTGATGCTCTACCATTTCTGGTGGAAGATGTTGGAAGTAATCAAGTACTTCTTGCAATCAATCCAGTCAGACTAGCCCACTCGACCCCTTCTCCCTTCACGGTCAGCTTCGCTGCCTCATCCGGTAGGTCAACTTGGATGAATCGGTCAAAACCTCAGGTCATGAGTCACGAGAGGGATGAACTCCAAACATTGACCACCAAATGGCAGCGACGTCGTGTGAAGTCCAGCTCCCAAAATCCGTGCCATGCGCGAGGCCAACGATCAAGCAGCATGCCAGGGACATTCTATAGAACTGATAAAGTTAAAAACACAAAATCTTACAAATCATTGGTGTTGAGCAGTGTCCATGTTGAAATCCCATGAATTGTATATGAATCGCGCTTTCTCGTTGC